TTTTTTTTTTTTTTTTTTTTTTTTCACAAAAGTGATGGATTTGCACCTTTCTATCCACATACTCTTTCCTGTTTTCTTCTTTGGACAGTTGCATGGAGGGTGGTTGAATGCTGAGGTAAGAGAGCAGTCAGTGAGTGACCAAGGAAACTAAACTCGGTTCAAATGATCATGTGACTCACAGCCCTGGCCTCCTGAATGTACTTTATGTGTTTGGAAAGGCAGACAATGATTTAGAAGCCTAAGTTTGTGTTTAATTTTTGCATGAGCCCTGGTTGTCTTACAGATCTGAGAAATTCCATTCTTTGCATGTGCTGTTGATAAGGAGGAATGAGGAAAGAGAATTTGGAGATTCAGCACAAAACCATTTCTACTACTGAAAAGAATCCTTTAAATATGTCTTAGTAACAGAGGTCAGTAATGTCATCAAACATGAAGGACACATATGTAATGCTTTGTTCATGGACGTAGAAATGTGTAATTGGTTATGATAAATGTTTCTCACTTGAACCTTGTGTAAGCCTTTTCTTTTGTTTTTTAAAGTCAGCAAAACTCATTTTGTCTGTGTCATCTGTAAGTCATAATCAGGACCAGAAGGAAAATTGATCAGTTCAATCAAAATTAAGGTGACATGGCAATATTGATAGCTCGAATGTGAATGTTTCAAGTATTGAACTCTTGTCCCTATGGGACATTTATTAAATACACTTAATAAGACTCTTGCAAAGTAGCCTTAAAAGTGTTGATGATTCTTTTACTAAATATGAACACATACTATTATTAGAACCAACTTTAGTCACGTCTCAGATACAGTACATTTACATTACTGTAGAGGATGAAGCGCTAATTTCTTAATAGGTGTATTTTTTTCTTAGAAGGAGAACCCTGAAAGCTGCCAGTTTTCTATTGACCTTGAATTATTGAAATTGTATTTATTTAATTTTATTGTTTTTACAAAATTGCACCTTGTGACCAAAGGGCAAAGCTATGGCTCATTGCGTTAGGGATTTATGTGTTCAAAGAACTAAATGTTTTCATATCCCTTCTTTATACACTTGGAACAGTTGGGTGGAAGAAAGCCTGTTGGAAAACTATGGTTTTCATAACTTTCTCTGGGTGTTTTTATAGAAATTATGTTTTAGAACAGAGCAAAAGTGACTTTCAGTTTGAATAAGGATAAGGGTGCTGGAAATGCCCTGTTTTGCTTTTGTTTCTGTGAGGGATTTACTACATGACTAAAAAATGGCTTCTGCTTCATTAAAAATGTTTCCAAATGCAAAACTCCTAAATAGCTATTTTTGAAATTGAAATGTTTAAATTTTGTAAATCAGCTGTTGCCACTACACAACTTAGGATACCATGCGCTTACAACATTTTTATAACATTCCATCATTCCCATTCCCTAGAGGTCATGATTTGCTAATTAGGGAAGTTACAAAAATACAGAAATGAAAAAAATATCTGTATATTGCAAGGAAAGGTTTGGGTAGGACATTTGACCAGAAATCAGTGTGTATTGCAATATACAGCCAGTAATTTTTGACCCTCACCCCCGCTCCCACCCCTACCAGTGTGCTCACCAAAAATAGTTCACTACTTAAAAAATCAGAATAAATAATTTTCTTCATATTGTTTTGGCTATGCAAATGTTTGTTTTGCTTAATGTCCTCCTTTTACACTTTCAGCAAATGTAGTTGCAGGCATATGCTTTCTTTTTATTTTTCCCTTGGTTTGGGTATGTAAATAGCCTAAAATGTACATTGAATTTCACATTGTAAAAGTTTTATTTTATTCCTTGTATTATATTATGCAAAATCCCTATGTATATGAAAGTGCATAATAAATATATTTGCTTTACAGAAGAAGTCTTGTTTTAATTTTATTCTGGAACCCGTAGAGCCTTCATACTATGCTTACAATTAAAAGCATTGTTAGTTGTTCTAATGTTAAAAAAAATGTTTAAAAATGTTAAAAAAGACTAAGCAAATAAATAAATTTTACAAAGCCCCCCCAAAAAGAAACTGTCCAAAAAAGAATCTAAAAACAGCTTTAGCCTTTAAATCTTTTTAAACCTTGTGTAAAGACTCAGTCCGTTTTCCCTCTAATTGTACACTGTATCTCACCATATATTTCGGGCCTCTGAAAATATCAGTAATCCAATAAATTGTGTATACATGTGCTCCTTGATTAGAATAATTAAAATAATTTACACTGATTTGTTTGTTTGTTTGTTTTACTGCAAACATGAATTTCTAAATAAAATGTGAGGTCTTTGTTCAGTAAATTTGGTGCCTGTCACACTCAGGGTGGGGCTTCCCATTACCTGTACCCAAAACAATGCTAAACAAATCACAGACTAATCTATCACACACCCTTAATCCATATTCACACACCCTAGATCGAGCCACCTCCAAAACTCCACCTATGAGTGCATGGGGCTTTGAGAGAACACTAGATACAAGCCATAATGTTCCATATATACTGATCTCTAATGAGAAGTTTCTGGAAAGGTCAACAAAGTATTTTCTGTTCAATAACTTCATAATAGTTTTTTGCAGTAATTTCGTATTTACAAATTTTGGGGTTAATATCTCACTGTAAATAGTCTCAGCTGCATAAAGTATTTAAACGAATGGTACATACAGAATAATTTAAAAACAGACTGGTTGACTAAATAAATATTTAAGTATGGAGTTTCCCTGCTGTTCCAAGAAAATAAAGTGAGAACTTGGCAGTGACTAATGTCATTCCTTAACCCTGGCTATTGGAAGAATTCCAACTAAATAGATACACATTGAAAGACTGATTGAGATTTGGGGAAATTTTTATTTGTCGTGCAGATAGGCACTAATTTGATTTTCAAGATAAATTCTCTGCTTTCCAATCAGTATTAAAAATAGTATACAGTGAATTATTTGAAATTTGAAGCATGTTTGGGTTTCTGCTCAGTTTGAGTTACAATGTACAGGACAGGCAAAATTGAGCCATATTCTTAGAATGTAAAGTTTAGAAGGCCACTGTGTACTTAGAGCTTACAGCTATTCTTGGTCTGTACCTGTGAAAACTGACAATGATGTGTCCTGATGAAACTAGTAGTACAAATTTAATGAGTCTGTGACAGTCACTCTTTTGTAAACAAATATTGAACTTTAACATATACTCGGAAAAATATTCAAGTCCTGAATTGCTGTTATATACGTTTTTACAACTTGAATATTGTATCACCTGGATCAAGGTGTAGGCCATAACAATCTCATAAAACTTCCTTGCCAATTCTAGACTCTACCCTCCACAAAGAAAACCATTATTCTTTTATTACTACAGATTAGTGTTGACTTCTTTAAAGTTTTGAATCAAATCATTCCCTTTGTGCTGGTTTCTTTCCCTTTGACATTTTTGTGATACTGGTAAGCACTGCACCAATGGCTTGCTCTCTTTCACTATATAGTAGAGTTTTGTCCTTTTTAAAATTGTGGTAGTATTCCATTATGTGAATGAATATGCCATAATGTTGAAAATTCACTGTTCAAATAATAGAAATTTGAATATTTTGGGGATTTGGCTTTTAAAATAACAGGCAACACTGTTTTGGTACATATTTTTAGTATCAATATGTATGCATTTATTTTAGTAAAATTACTGGACCCAAGGTGTGTGTATGATCAGCTTGAGTAGATAGTGCCAGTATTTCAGAGTAATTTTATCAGTTTCCTTTTCCCACTAGCAATGTACAAAAATCTCTGTTCTACATTTTGGCAACATTTGTTATTAAATTTTCTCCCTCCCCATTCTGTTCGGTTGTTTAATTATACTGCATTTAGTTTTGAATTTCGATTTCTCAGAGAATTAGCCATTGCACATAATGATTTTATATTTGGACTTGTTTTGAGAAATTAGTAAATCTCTCTTGTTGGGTTTCCTGATTTGTAGAAATTTCTTTTTGACATTTTGCATATAGGTCCTTTATACCACATACACAATGCAAATTCCTTAGTCTCTGCACTTTATAATGGCACACGAGTGAGCAAAGATTCAAGTCTAATCTTTTTTCATAGATTTTTTTAATATTCTGTTTAGAAATTTTTGCCAACCCCAAAGTATGATAGTTTCTTGTAATAGCTCTTTAGTTTTACCTTAATTACCAAACTAATCTGAATTATTCATTGAGATATTTTCTATTTCTCACAGCATTTTAGTGGCACCTTTGTTATATATCAGTTACACTTGTGTAGCTTGGTTTTGGTTTTTATCCTTGAAATAATATCATGCCAAGTTGATTTCTATACTTTCATATGTTTTAGTATGTTAGCTTTTGGTATACTGCATGTCTATAGAAACTAAAATAAAATTTTCAGTTATTTTAAAAAATATGCCAAGATACTGATTGGGTTTATATTGAATCTACAGATCACTTTGTAGCTGGTTGAACTGTTTACACACTTTAGTCATAATCAATGAGATTCTTCATTTATCTATATTCTTTATCTAGAGCTTCTTTACTTTAAGAAATGTTTCTTAGTTTCTGTATTGAGGTTTGTGTCAGCTGTAATCCTAGGTGATTTGCTGTTAATTGATACTGTTGTGAATGGCATTTTAAAGTTCATTTTCCATTATCACTAGCATAGAGATGCAGTTTATTTCAG